ACAGGACAGCATAATACTAGTCCCTAATAAATCCGAATAGGTACAATAAATCGATATCCGTAAGTGAAAATTCTACTTAGGAGAGCATAATAATAGACTTTCATATTGGAGGGGGGATGGCCATTATTTAAAAAAAAAAAATATAAGATTTACAAAAAATTAAAACATTAATTTGAAATGAAAACGGTTGAATTTGAATTGGAAAAGGTTTAATTTGAAATGGAAATGGTTGAATTTGACTTGGAAAAAGTTTAATTTGATCTGGAAAAGGTTGAATTTGACTTGGAAAAGGTTGAATTTGACTTGGAAATGACATAGAAATATCACACTGAAAAAATCTAAAATGTTAAAATAAATGGATATGCAACCGCGTTATCAAAATTTTTTTTGTATTTTTCAAAAGCTATGCCTTCGATAATATAGTAAGTGGCCTTCATTTTGAAAAAAATCGAAAATTGGAAAGTTGAATTTGAAATGGAAAAGGTTGAATTTGAAATGGAAAAGGTTTAATTTGACTTGGAAAAGGTTGAATTTGATTTGGAAAAGGTTGAAATTGACTTGGAAATGCTATATTTTTTATCTTTATTTTCAGGCATACCAGTCTTTTGGAAACTGGTTTGAAACCCGTTCCGAATTGGCTGTTCTTTGTGATTGAATGCATGAAAATATTTCCCTTCGATGTTTCTGCTATTACCTCTGATTTCTTCAAGCCCTAAGCTTCTTTCGATTCCCGTAATCTTTCTTGTCCTAGGAGTGTCTGAGTATTTAAAGTGTTGATAATCAGTCTATTTTTATGTTTCTTTTGCTATGTTTTTATATTTTGGTATTTGTCTTCTGACACATCACTTTTTTCACTATTATAAGAATTCATTCCTCGCGTTTGTATAAATCTTTCCAAACTCATCGATCTATTTTTGGATTTTTTCACATCTCTTGATGATTCATGAAATAGTCATTTCTTTGCTGATAACATTAGGTGATTTTTCTTCGCTTCTGTATCTTTTCCCCAGAAGAATTTCTTGTGCTTGGAGTTCTTCTAAGCTGATGATCTGACTACTCCCAAAATAGGATTTTTTGTAAAATCTTTAAAAAAAAAACAAACGAAAGATCTGACTATTTATAATTAATTTATCGTACTTTATAATGGCTTTATAATTATTTTTCTTTGCTTCTAATAACTAGGTGAATAATTTCTCTCTTATTCTTCTGATTATTAGCTGAAAATATTTTTTTTTTTGTTAATTGTGAAGATGTTCAAATAATTTTAGTGTTTCTTTTGTTTTTATAAGTAGATTTTTAGCCATCATTGAATTAAATTTTACTAACATAGGACTTTTTTCTTTGTTATATTTGGTTTTACGGAAATAATCTATGTGCTGCAGCTGAGAAAGCTGATTTATTTGTTTAAAAATGTTTTCTATTTCACTGAGCATAGTTTTATATGTTTTCTCCTTTTTTCCAATTATTATATTTACATTTCTCTTTATCGTCTCTTATTTTAGACAGTTCAATTTCCTCTTTTATTTTTAATATATATTCTTTAACAACTTTTAAATCTTCCTTTAAATTTTCTTTAATTTCATTTACACATTGTTCTAAATTATCTAATTTATTTAATTTCAGCAAAATTTTGTCCAATTTATTTTTCATTTTGAATAATTTTAATTGATTTTACTTAGGTAAACCAGATGGTATTGTTTTGACCTTGGCAGTTATCAGTAGTACCAGCTAGACCTGGGCAGTCTTGAAATAATTTATTTCTGAAATCATTCACATGGTTATTCCATGAATGAATTATTTTGGGAATAATGGTTATTTCTGAAATAATATTTCAAACTGTCAATGAAATAATCCTGATGGAATAACTGCTAAACTTATTTCTAAAATAATTATTTTGAAATAAGTTATTTCTGAAATAAATTATTTCATAACTATTCTTTCAGAATTATTTATTTCAATAAATTATTGCAAAAATCAAGAAATGTATATTTCAGAAATAACATTGTTCTGAAATAACATAAAAAATTTACCAATATGCACCATGTTTTCGGGATATGGTATTAGGGTCGACTATTATGTTTTCGGGGTAGCTTATTATGAAAATATGGTCGAATTTGAGATTGCGCCCCTCCCCTCCCTTCCCCTCCCAATCGACTTTTAGTAACCTTTCGGATTTAATAGATATCAGGGTCGACTAGATAGATAGATAGAAAGTAAACTTTATTCTGGGACAAGGTCCCTTATGAATAACAGATATAAACAAAAAAAAATAAAACTACATCTGGCCAAAAATTACATTAATCAATATTAAAGAATATATACAGTATCTTCAGTGAAATTAAATTAAAACAAGTAAAAATAAAATAAAATTTTGAGAAAAAACGAAATAAAAAAAACAACATTATTTAAATGAAAATAAAAATAAAATAAAATAAGCATGGGTTGATTTTTAAAATTAAGACAATAAATTTTATCAATCATTCACCTCAGTCAAAATCTGTTTCACAATATTTATTTTATTGTATAACGTCATTTTGGGATGTGAGAAGGAATTGGTAAAGATGATATTTAAATGAGGACAAGGAAGAGGCATGACGGATTTCAGATGGCAAGGAATTCCAGAAGGCTGTGGATCGGGAAATAAAGGAATATTCAAACGTCTTAGTTCTATGGGAAGGGATATAAAGGTCGGAAACACGGGATCTTGTTTTCTGGGAGTGGACCACGGGTTTAAACTGTAGGAGACTGTAGATGTAAGAAGGGTGTCTAGTGTTGATTGTTTGGAATAGGAAAGATCCGAGGAAATATTGTCTGCGGAAAGAAGGGAAGAGCCACTTTAACTCGTCGTAAAGGTGGGACACATGAGATCGCTTTGATGTACCGAAGACAAATCTTAAGCACGTATTCATGAGTCGCTTCAATCTATCCTCGAGTACCATCGGGATGCCTCCGTACACCACACAGCCGTAGTCAAAGTGGGGGAAAATGAGAGAGGATACAAGGAGCTTGCGGATGGGTTGTGGGAGTAGGTGGCGGGAGCGATGAAATAGCTTAAGGGTACCTATTGACTTACGGGAGATGAGGGCAATATGGGGTTTCCAGGAGAGGTTTTCGTCTATGGTGATTCCTAGGTTTTTAACGGATGAACTGAATGTGACAGGATGATCGTTGATGACTAAAGGAGGAAGGAAGGAGATGGATTTAAGAATAGGACTGGAACCTATAATAATGGCCTGAGTTTTCATCGCATTTAGATTTAAATTATTCAGACTTGCCCAGGCACTGATCCTATCTAGGTCAGCCTGAATATTGGCGAACGTGACTAGTAGCTCAGAAGGATGAAAGGAAAAATATATTTGGGTGTCATCAGCGTATAAATGATGTGAACAGTGGTAGATGGATTTGGAAAGATCATTTATGTAGGAGTTGAAAAGGAGAGGGGAAATGCTCGAACCCTGGGCCACTCCAGAGGACAGTGTAAGAAAGGAAGATAGGGGTTGGTTTGGAATGCTGACTGCTTGAGTTCTGTCGGATAGGAAAGACTGTAACCAGAGGATAGAGCTGTTGGAGAAGGATAGAGATTTTAATTTAGTATAGAGTATAGAGTGGTCTAAGGAGTCAAAAGCTTTGGAAAAGTCGAGAAGTATTAATACAGTTAACATTTTTTCGTCCATTGCGGTATGTAAGTCATTGGTAATTTTTAGTAGGGCGGATTGTGTGGAGAAGCCAGGTCGGAAGCCAGATTGGAGAGGATCGAGTAGTTTTGAGTTTTCAAGGAATTTAGAGATTTGGGATTGAGCTATTCTTTCCAGAGGTTTAGAAAGGTTAGAAAGAATGGAGATTGGGCGGTAATCTTTAGGAGAGGTAGGATTGGGAATTTTGTTGATAGGTCTGACTAATGCTTTTTTCCAAGCAGTTGGAAAAACTGAGTTCTGGAGGGAAAAATTATAGATGAAAAGGAGAACTGGAACGACTTCGGGAAGGCAGACTATTATATTTTCGGGGTAGCTTATTATGAAAATATGGTCGAATTTGAGATTGCGCCCCACCATTCCCCCCCCCCTAATCGACTTTTAGTAACCTTTCGGATTTAATAGATATCAGGGTCGATTATTATGTTTTCGGGGTAGCTTATTATGAAAATATGGTCGAATTTGAGATTGCGCCCCTCCCCTCCCTCCCCCCTCTCAATCGACTTTTAGTAACCTTTCGGATTTAATAGATATCAGGGTCGACGATTATGTTTTCGGGGTAACTTATTATGAAAATACGGTCGAATTTAAGATTGCATGCCCCCCTCTCTCCCATTGACTTTTAGTAACTTTTCCAATTTAATCGATATCAGGGTGGCCTTTAATGTTTTGGGGGTATCGATTAAATTCGATAGTTATTTCCGAAATAATTTATTTTATGAAATAAATTATTTCGGAAATAATTATCGAGGTTTATTTAGGGATTTATTCTGGGGAATATTTTTCAAATAAATTCTGCCCAGGTCTAGTACCAGCCAGCTGTTTGATCTATTCGAATTGAATATCTCCTCTACTACTGGTCGCTTAACTAATCCCATTAACTGTGTACTTATATTTCTCTTCTTATAGCTTTTCTTCAAGACACTGTATGAGAACCAAAAATTTTCAGTTTTTTATTTGACAATAACTGCACATGTATGTAAAGTTTTATCGTGATAAAAGAACTTTTACAATCTTATTAATGACTAGCGTGCATACGATGTTGACTGTACCATGGCTCAGGCCAGACTCCTTAGTACATGAGTAAGAATGTAAAAAAATCCAATGAACTTCTGACATTTAAACTCAAAGTTGGTTATTTTAGACCTCAATTAGTCGGAAAACTCAAATTTTTTCCATGCGCCCCTGACATTCAAGTTATCGACATTTGACTTTTCATTGATTGTAAGTTGGTGATTAGTATCTGTTATTAATCTTTAAATTCATTTCACATGAGTTTGTCTCTATTTATTTAGTTTCTTTTTACAGGTCATTTGGATTCTAGAAGCAGCATAAGGCATGTTTTGCTCGCCACATCATTTATCTCATTAGCATTTTCAAGCTCTCAAGCTGTGCTTGAAGTATTTTACCCAGATGAGCATTTTAAAATCCAGGGTAAAAATACAAATGTTTTTGGCCATGGAGGAATGTTATTTTGGTTTATCTCATCTATATTTTTCACACTGGTAATACTAATTTTTTTTAATATAATCACTTTCTCTTTAAATTCACTTCTTATCTAATTCTATATTAATTTAATTTTCTATTTTAATATCGAGATATAATTTTTTAAATATGTCTTAGAAAATCAATATTTGTACATGAAATAAAATATAAATGAATCACTCAACTGGAATAAAGCCTCATTTCTTTTGAATAATGATGGAGTTTACATATCAAAATCAAACTGGCAGGATAATTTTTTTGGTTTGTGAAATTATTAGCCAGCCAAATTAAAATCCCTGCAACTCACCTATTATTACCCTTGTTTATATCAGAAGTGATTTATTAAGAGCGTAAAGGGCAGCAACTTCCCCTTGGTTTTCCTGTATTCAACATGTTTATCATAATTACATGAAAAATAAAAAGACTGATTTTAGTGTACCATCAAAGTATTTTATGTTCACCTGTTAGTATCATCATCCATCATTTATCATTTGATTAATTTTACTAACCTTCTCATACTCATTATAAAGTAAAACTGCTTCGGGCTTCTCCATTATTTCTCATGAAAATTCTGAGGAGATAATGATGACATAATGTTTATCTCACTATTAAAATAAACTACTATTATTGCTTCATAAAAAAATACTTACTAGTAAAAATGAATATTGGAGCTAATCCTCAAAAAAATCAAGATAATTTGAATAGTGCACCTGATTTATAGGCCCTTTAATAAGGAGAGGAATCAAGGAATAAGGTAAATATCAGAATTGTAAGCCTTTTCGAAATCAATATACAGCTGGTGAACAATACTGTTGTACTCTAATTTTTTCTCTATTTGCCGTAAAGAAAATATTTGATCAATAGTCGAACGATTCCGTCGAAATCCGCATTGGTAGTCTCCGATAATTTCCTCGGTTTATTCCGTGATTCTACTAGTTAAGATTAAAGTGAATATTTTATAACATACAGGAAGGAGTGAAATTCCTCGATAGTTATTACAATCTGTTCTCGGGCCCTTTTTGTGAATCAAAATAAGAATAGATTCTTTCCATTCTTCAGGTAATTTCTCATTCTCCCAGATCTTTTTAACCAACCAATGTATTTTAGAAACTCCAGCTTCCCCGCATGCCTTAATTAGTTCACAAGGAATATTATCGGTTCCCGCTGCTTTATAAGATTTTAATTTTCCGATAGCTACTTCAACTTCCTCTTTACTCGGTTCTTCTATTAACGGTTCAGTTCTCTGGTACTCAGAAGGACACAGATCATAATTTCCCGTATTTAAATTATTGTCAAAGTAGTTCTTAAACTTTTTTTATATGTCAACCGGATCGGACAGAATATTGTTACTTTCATCCCTAATTCCAGACGTGACGGGTCCTAAACATTTATGTGATCTGTTTATACTTTTGTACATGTCTCTTATGTTATTTTCGATTCTATTAGTTTCTATTTCAATTATTTTATTTTTAAGATACTCCCTTTTTTTATTTTTGAGCAATTTTGTCGTTTCAATCTTTGAGGTTCGGAAGAATTCCAGATTGCCTTCGTTAGGATTATTTAGAACTTTTAATTTAGCAGCTTTTCTTTTTTCGCACATATTTAAGCAATCTTCATCAAACCACAGTTCGTTATTCTTATTTTCCCTTTTTCCTAGACACGAGTTACTGACCTATCATTACTATATTTGTGCAAACTTTCTTTACCAATCATCGGAACATAAACTTCTTCCCTCTCCACCTTTGCGTTCATGTCACCTACAACTATTTTCATGGAGTTTCGCGGTAGTTTATCATTAATCCATTCGAGTTTATCGTAAAATTCGCATTTGACTTCATCGTCACTGTCTTGGGTCGGACAATGTATGTTTATTACTGCAATTTTTAACCAACATCCCTGAAATATAGCTACTGAAATTCTATTACTAAAGAATTGTACGTCCCTCAAAGCGGATAGCAATCTATTCCTAATTAGAAACCCGGTACCTAAACAATGATTCCCACTTCCTCCGTACCAAATAGTGTACTTTCCTTCCCTCATCGAGCCCTCCCCTGGCCAGCGAACCTCTTGCAGAGCCACGACATCCAAATTGTACCCATTAACCTCATTCGCGACCGATTTTAACCCCCCTGCTGTGTTTAAACTCCTTACGTTCCACGTACCAATATTTAAATCCCTATTTTTCAACTTGCGCCATGAATCTCCTAAAGCAGTCCCCACCCAGAGACCCGAATGGGAGACTAGTTTACCTCTGGATAATAAGTGTTTTACCTTAGGGAGATCCATGACTATTTGTGGTGTATGGTGAACTAAAGATATGTGAGTAGGGTGTTCAATCCTACGTCACACCCTCCAGCAAGTCTGGAAGGCCCCTCTCATTGTGAGTAAGCGAGTCCATCGGACTTAGCCGGGAGGAACTTCAAGGAATGTCCACCGACCATCCCCACCATACCTGTGGGACGCTCCCTACACGCTGTAAAAAGGTATGAGACAAGGAGATCTTGCCTCATCCCCAGTATTTAGTACCATGTTGGATGTGAAAATTTCAAAACTAAAACTTAAAAGTAATGATTCTATATAACATTTTGATTTCTTTACTTTTTCCCTTGCAACTTATAGTCTTGCCTATATAACTACTTAAATATACCTTGTTGGTTTGAGTGTCTCCTAGTAGCTCTTGTGGGATTAAGATATGAAAACATGAACCTAATTAGATCAGTTTAAGCAAAAAACAGAAAACAATCAAATATGTGAGTAGAATTACCAGCAGCAAATGTTGAACCAACTTAATCGGAACTTTTGTGTGATCGTTCAGTTCACTTAATCATAATCATTTGAAATTTTTTTTGTGTGTGAGTGATTTTAATTGCTTTACTATTTCTAGGAAATGAACACTTATAGAAGGCCGATGAGAATTTCATTATTTTTTATTTTTTCGTTTTGTCAAAGTTAAAGTGCTATTAAATGTAATTACATTAACAATAATACTTTTAGAGATGAAGAGAAGAATAGTTGGGGTGGTCAGTCAAAAAGGAAGGCAAAAATAAATGATAATATTTATTTTTACATATGCCGACGTTTCGACCTGAAGTTCAGGCCTTCATCAGGGCTAAGAAAATAACCAGATAACAAGGTATGAGAAACATAAGTAGTGATGGAAAAAAAAATAAATAAAAAATTATTTAAAAAAAAATAAAAATAAAATAAATAAATAAAAAAAATAAAAAAAAAATATATGGTTATTTTCTTAGTCCTGATGAAGGCCTGAACTTTTGGTGATGGAGGAGCTTTTAAGTATGGCATTAATGGCCTGGATAAAAGCCTGTATAACCTAAAAGGCAAGGAAGAGGTTCACAAAAAAAATAATTACTTGAGGATTTAAATAAAATGTTTAAATCATTTAAGCTGCTGAATATCTTTCTCATGTTTTGTTTTTGAACATTTTATTATTTTGTTCTCGAGTTTAATTTATTGAAATCTCGAGGGACGAAAGAAAAAGTTGAAAGCTTAGAAGGAACATTTCTCCCTACTAAATTTACAAAGTTTTAACTCCATTAGTGCCAAATGGCCTCAATTTAATTAAATACAAAGCCCATTTGATATAAAGGGACTCCCTTTAACAAATAAAGAATAAATATATATATTAGACATTTCCTGAACCCACATAATTATGTTCTAGGGGTTTTAAAAATGATATAATATGCTCTCTTGTTTCTCCCGATGACCTTCAATTAAATGCAAGAGTCCATTATTTTCAGGATTAGTAGGACTAAAAAAGGGCTTTTAAAATAGTAAAAACGAATAATTGAAGGTAGATTAACCATCTCTGATTACTGTTGGTTCACATTTATGTTATGTTGTACTCATATATGCTTTGCTGCAAATGAAGTAAAAAGTGTAACGTGAGTATGGTCGCAATAAGAGTTCATATTACACTATAGGCAGTGACACTCATTATTTTAATTTGTAATTACTTAATTTGTTACTCATAACGGCGTTAATTAATCTTTTTTATGTGAAATAAAAAAAAATTAGAAATCCTGGAAATGCACGGGTATTTTTTTGGAGAAGCGCTGGACACCCTGTATTTGCATTAGTTGCAAAAGGTATTTTATTTTCTAAGTGGAAAGATAGAACATAGTGTATCTCCAGTACAAGTAATTTTTGGAGATGAAGAAGACTTATACCCTATACCTGCCAGATGATGAAAAAAAATTTCAAGCTGTACACAGATAAAAAACTAAAAAATTCTGGGTACCTATTTGTTTGTTAGATGCATTTTCTTATGTCCTTAAACATTTTTTTATGCATCTTATTAAATGCCTCCAAAACCTCACAATGACCATGTGGACTAAGGAGACTATACCAGTTGGGTAAATAATTCATGTGGTTAGCCCTGCTAAATAAAAAGTGACTTATTACAAGATGAAGGTAACTGGGACCTGACATTAGTTATAGTTCTACAGGATGATTATGATTATTATTATTATTATTAGTCTAAATATTAATGATTATTAATCTTTATTTTTAATTTACTATTACCATTTTTTTTTTCAGTTATATTTATCTATATTGGTGTTGCCTTGGACAAGAATAAGGGAAAGACTTGCTTTGCCTAGTATGTAAAATTATTAATTATATTATAATTGTTGTTTTTCATAACATGAATCAATTGATACTTGATACTTATTATTTAGATTTAATCATATTTAATTTTAATTACTATATATTTTTAAATCTTATGGTGTTGAGTCAAAATATGTACAATTATAGATTTGTTAAATTATATGAAATATTATATTCTTAGACATGTTTGAAACTTATATTGAGATTTCATCTTTGTAATGCTAACTTCATTAATTTAGTTAAGTTAACTTAATCAGATTTTTGGTTTATTAAATGCTTACTATTAACAAATTTCATCTTTCTTTTTACTTCAGTTATAAAATATATTTTTATTGTACATAATACCCATATACATGCATATTTAAACTATAAATTTTTTAAGTAACTTTTTGTGTGGTTAAATAATAGGGAATTCAATTCTTATGAGTATATCTTTTCTTTTCTATAATCTATATCTGTTCCTATCAGCATCTCTCTGGCCAATGCAACATTTTGGTTTTTTTTTTAATTTTTATTATTTATGTTCCCCCTGTTCCCTCCCCAACTCCTGACTGACATATATAAAAAAGACTGAATGGAAGACTATCCTAATATTTTTCTCCATTACTAGCTTGGAAATTCTAGCACATATACATTTTTTTCCTTCTTAAATATAATTTGGTTACTCTTTATTAAGCTGAAAAATACTGATACAAATTTTGTGGGTTTTGTGTTTTTCATACTTATTTATTTCCTTTTTCTTTGTATTTAATGGGTAAAGTTAAATAATTATTACAAAGAGGAATACTCTTTGACATAATAGCCATATCACATAGACTCTTAAAGTAAGAGAGAAAATGTAGGTTTGAAAATTTAACTCAAAATCTACAAAATTGCCCTTGAACCGATGTCAAAGAATCCAAGCACTTGGGATTTTGCAATTGATTATATTTTTTTCTCCTTAAATTAAAGCTTGAACTTCTTAAAATATTTTTTTCTGTTTTCTTCTTTTGTAATCCATTGAAGTTCATTTATTCAAAAAGATAACATAAGTCATGTCTTTCATATAATAATAGCCTTTTATTATGTGGTGTACATCTAATAAAATAAAATTCAATATTTTTACTATTAATGAGCTGTTTACAATATATACACTTTTGCACTTCTTGTCCGCATAGGCCTTCCCTAAAAGGAAGCAATAATCTAACCTTCCCAGGTTATGCTACAGGGAAGAGGAAGTTGTGTTTTCTTCTATTTAACTATCCATACCTTCCTGTCCTTTGCCTTTGCCATTCCCCAACAGTTGGGACCCAACTTTTCCTTAAAGAAGTCGCTTTATCTTGAGATGTTTTCCTTTGTTCCTCCTAAAGCCATAAGGTGTCCACTCAGTTATGGCTTGGGACTATCTCTTATGTTATCTTCATAGCTCATGGCCTGTCCATTTTCATTTGAGCTTCTTGATATGTAGTGTTGTATCCCTAAAACCAGTTCTCTCTGTCACTGCTAATGATTTAATATAGTCCTGTCTTCTAACATTTATCATGCTTCGCTCTACAGACTGTTGCCAACTGATAATTTTATCATTTTGGCTATTTGTCAGTGACCCTGTTTGACAGTCAGAGATAATAACAGGTAATATACAACTTTATAAGACTTTTTTCTTATATTCTATTTTGTAGTTGCCTTTCATAATTGTTTTTAGAGACCAGTACCTCTTTCAGCCAAGAGATATCCTCCTGTTAATTTCCTAGATAATTTCTGAAGATGATCTATCTACAAAGGCAATGACTTGACCTAAATGAACTCCTGTACATATTCCAGGCTTACATCATCCACCCTTATTTCTGTCTTTTTTATATTAGTCATCAGCTTAGTTTTATCATAGTTAGGTGTTAAACACCAACAGCCGCACTCAGGTGAAATAGTTCCTCTATCATTCTTGACAGATCTTGTGCATTGCTACTTACCAAAAGGAGATTATCTGCGAACCCTAAATTACTCAGCCGCCTCCCGTCGATGCAGATTCCTCATCCATCCAGTCTAATTGCCAAAAAACTACATCCAGCAATAAGTTGAATAGCACTGGTGACAGTGGATCTCCTTGCCTAACCCCTTTTTTTGTTTGAAATGGTGTTCCTTTTTTTTTCCAAGTGTGATATGTGCTTCCATATTTTTATTATATAAATATATTTTTTCTCTATACCTCCTTGATCCAATGCTTCGAAAATACTAGCATTTAATACACTATCGAAAGCTTTGCTGAAATCTATAAAGCAAAGCTGTAGGGGGAAATTGTATTCGTTGGCTTTTTCGATGAACTGTGTGTAAGTGGTCACTGACAGAAAAGTCCTTTCTAAAACCTATTTATATAATCATTTACAATTAATGAAAGTTATTAGTGGAATAATTCCATAGGAAAAGGCAATGTAAAACATAATTTAAAAAAGCAATCAAATTTAAAAATATTAATGTTTAACCTGGTAACCACTTCATCAAAAGGGAGGGTCTAAGTTGCATGAAGTGAGAGTAGCAAGTTTCTTTTTTTTTCTTGTTTGGAGTGTGGCTCGAATGGAAAATCCAAATTTTGGACTTCGTCACCTCCTTGGATTCCTTTTGAATATTTCAGAAACAGCTATATTTTTGCACTTTTTTTTTTGTTTCCCTCATTTAGATCACGAAGGAGCTTATTTTGGACAAAAAACATTCTGTATATTTTTAAACTAAATTAAATATACTACAATTCAAGACCAAAATAGGCTCAGTAAATTTAATAGTTTTCGAGATACAGTTTTTGGAAGTTTTCCGAACTTGTAAATTTGTTGCTATTTTTCATGTTCCATTCTATGCAGTTGTCCTTATATCTTCAATAATTTGTCTGATATGAGTGAGTAAAGTAAAAATTTATTCATTTTTACATTTTGAAGGGGGAGGGAGATGATGGAGGGGCAAGGTTTGGTTGGAGAGGGGGAGATATTTCTTCACAACCAGGCGACTGAAATTGAAATACAAAATTGATTTAACAAACATTTACATCAAGTGTTTACATACAGTGTTAATGAAGTGAATGAAATTTTTGAAACTTGAAAATGTTAAGCTAATTTTCATGTTTATATCTTCCATAACGTGCTTATATGAGTGAAGTAAAAATTTATTCAATTTAACTTTTTCAAGGAGGATACAGGATACATGGATATGGGAGTAACAATATTGTAGATACCATTATTTCTATCAATTAATACAACATGTGTGTTGCATTTATATTACGACTCCTTGACAAGGTTTTCCCTTTGGAATATTCAACAAATAAATATTGGGTGGATCCATAAGTTCGTTTGGTTTTTAAGGGCAAAATAAAACATGTTTTTTTCTTATAAAGAATAAATTTTATTCTCTAATGTATTTGCCGTTTTTATTCATGACCTCTTGCCATCTTTCTAACAGTTTCATTATTCCACTCTCATAAAACATCTGAGGCTTAGAAGCTAAAAACTGATCGAGATACGTTTTTACATCTCTCTCATCAGTGAATGATTTCCCTTTGAGGAATTTTTGGAAGGATCGGAATAAATGTTAGTCAGATGATATAAGGCCTGATGAATACAGTGGATTTAATAAAACATTCCAGTCAAGTTGCACCAACTTTTACTGTGTGATTATTGCGAACTGTGGTCTGGCATCGTCATGGTTGGATGGAATACAACACCTTTGCGATTGACTAGTTCTGGGCTATTTCTATCACAATGCTTGATCCAATTCTATTAGCTGCATGCAGTAGATCATTGGAGCAATTCTTCCTCTTTTTTTCTTTTGTGAAAGCATCTGTTAGAACAGCACGCTGCGATAATCCCACCATATGGAGAGCAAAATCTTTGCCGGCTTTTGGGGTGGCATTGGGCGGCCATCAGCGGTTATCCTCGATATATATCACTATTCGATTGAGAATAGATCCGTTTCGTGTCGATTCAGAAGAAAGTTGTAGATTGATATTCAGTTGACCAGGTTTGCCTCAGTCAGTTTGTGTGAACACCAAACATCAAGGTGGGACACGTTGCCAAGCTATTTTAAATGCCTTTGAATGGTCCCAAAATATTTTTTCAGTGTCTCTGCAATTTCTTGTAACTGTAGCTACAGGTCTTATTCGATTAGAGCCTTGGTATCACTCGAATCAACCTCGGTGGGCCCACCGCTGTGGGGTGCATCTTCGAGACTCGTATCTCCGCAACGAAATTTGGCAAACCATTTTTGAGCTGTACGTTCTTTTAAGGCATTGTCCCCATTTACCTTACATATCTTTCGGTGGACTTCCAAAGCTCACTTGGTTTTTGTTGAAATAAAAAACTAAAAAATGCATTTTATCATTTGACATATTTACTATGCTGTTGCACAAACAAAACTAATGCCAATGAAACCAAACATAACAGAGCGGACTTTAACCTTTTCGATAACTTTAATTATTGTCAGATAAAGCAAAGAGAACTGGAGATATTTGAAAACAATGCTCCCTACTAACAAAAATCGAACAAACTTATGGATCCACTCAATATTTTCATTCCATTTCAGAAAGCCCAGGACAATGAATATAACACTGCAGGAAGCCGATTTGTTTGGCTCTGATCCTTTAATTCACAGTTCCTTTACTTCACTTAAAATACTTACATTTACACATTATTAATTTTTTGTTTTGTGTTGACATTACAGACATTGTAGATCTTCTGCCACCTTAACGAGCCTGTCTTGGGCTATTTCTTTCCAGTTATCTGCACGCTCTATTGCATCTTTGTTGATTCTATCTATCCACCTGCTTTTTGGCCTTCCAAGTGATCTTCTGCCTTCTATTAAGACATTCATTGTTACGTAGAGGCTTTCATATGGATTTCTAAGAACTAAACCCCTTGTCTTTCATATCATGGGATATTGATTGACCAGTTTCTCTAAGCAGTTCTGTGTTGGTCTTTCTTCTCCATGTGTTTATACTCTGATTCCAGATCTTTCTGATTCAGGATTTTTCTCTCA